TGGGCATCTACTGTAGCATGATTAAGGACTCAGGATTGTTGTTTCATGTTGTTTCCATCTACCTTCAAAGCCCCTTGCTTCCCCAGACATTGCAGGGCACGGGTTGGGTGCACATTTGGGGTCTCTCCATTATGTCTCTACGCATGCCGTGCCCACGTTTGGGCATGCGTTGACCACGATAAAAAAAACGCATCAGTTGTGGTACGAAGCGAGAAACACATGCATTAGTTGTGGTACGAAGGGCTTCGAGGAGAGTCAATTCACGTTGAAATGCCCCGCGCATCCATTGACTCAATATGTTCCCAAAGCTGCTTGATGGGACAAGTTCCGGAGTTCAATGTTTCGCAAGTGAATGCGAGTGAGTCGTTGTTCTCGTGCTGGGGAGACCAGTCCGATTTTCTCGATGTCAAAGGCCTCCAACAACCGGACCCGGATCATCCGAGTTCCTGAAGTGCTCCTGGGTTTGTCAACAAATGCTAAGGAGACAATAGGACTCAATAGGATAAGGATCAAAAAGATCAGGTGTTGGGATGGATCTATTAAAATGATCAGGTTAGGTTGGTTTGCCACGAAAAGAATCAAGGCCCAGAGCACGCTCAGCAACTTCTACTGCGCTTCGCCGGAAAGCCTGCCGATAGCCAGGGCGCCCAGAGCAAAACCTTGCAAGGCCCTTGGACACTGAGCCTGAGTGGGCCCTAGTTTAGACCACCAAGCAGCCAAAATACTTACCGCCATGTCTTCTGAAACCAATTGCTTGCCAATGGGCAGCAAGATGGAGTTGTTGGATTCAGAAATGGCTGGATTACATGTCCGACTGGGCTGCTTCCGGTGCCATTGTATGATATAATGATATATAATGATACATCCCAAACACCATTTGGAAAGAGCTCCCCTTCAGAGTGGGCTTGTTGGATTTGCAAGCGCTGCCACCAGTGACAGGATGAGGGAATGACCCTCCAATAGAGCTTCCTAATCCAGTCCTAATGCTTTTCAGTGAAAGAGAATGACGACGTATAGGCAAAGTGCCAGACCAAAGCAAACCCATATGCCATATGCTTCGGAGTCCAATGGCCTCAAACGGGGTTTACGGTTCTTAAGGTGATATGTACTGTGTAAAGTACCCATATAACCTCCAATAACAAACATTGAAGTGGAGAATCTGCTTCGGTGGAGCCAATCATACATGTTCCACTGTCGTATTTGTTCTTCAGGGATGCCGGCTCATATCATAAGATAGTGGATCAACTCAAGACTTGGACATTCTTACCGCATACAGGTGTTTTGTTGCAGCAAGAGTTGTTTGCCGTATCCCACTCAAGGCTCCTCCAAGCATCCTCCCAAGTGTCCATTCGATCATCGGTTGTTTGATGGGTTGGAAGACGACCCTCCATGACCCCAAAGGACCATCGAGATCGGTCCTGCCGATGAGGCGCAGAGTACTACCAGCAACCTGGACATGGCCAGCCCTGGTAGTGTGTTTGGCAAGAGTCGAAGTGCCACCAGCAAGGCCCGCCGACCCGCCGCATTTTCGGGGAGGGTGAGGTAGAGTAGAGTACTGGGGGCGGAGGTAGAGCAATGCCACCGGAGGTATGTATTGGGGGGGCAAGGGTATGGGATGGTATGGGTGTTACCCAGAAACCGAAAACAACTGAACATGTGTGGTTGCAAGGCACTTGATGTTGAGTTGTACCATGTTTGTACCTTGTTTGAAGCAATTCTCAAATGATATGGCTGGTTGGCGTGAATGTTTTGAGATCGACTGCGGATGACGACAGTGTCACCACCGGTGAAAACACCGCTCTTTACGGCAAATGTGTGTCAAGACATGTCAAGAACCCTTATATATCCCATAGGATCCAGGTACCTCCTGAGGATGGTCTTGGAGGTGAAAGTACTTCCAAAGAATGGTCTTGGGGGGTCAAAGGACATCCTCAGCGCCCTGGACCCTTAGGGTATATAATATATATATATAATATATATATATATATATATGCCGACGGACTGGAAGATAGAATGTGCTTTTGGACACGGCTGATGCCAAATTGACGACCCCACTTTCCAGACCGGCAAACCCATGCAAACCCTACATTCTAACGGTCAGTGTTAGAATGTGCAGAAAACCTTTTAGAATGCGTCTCTTCATGGTTCAGCAACACATGAGAACCAGAAAAAGGAATGCAAAGTGAAGGGAACATTAAAGGAATTGAAGGAATGTTCTAAAGCCGCATTCTAACTTTGGGTCTCGGCCACCTGGGTCCAAGAGCTGCTAACTCTCGATGCCAAAATTTTTGGAAACGGCGCCTACATTCTAAGTTCCAGTCCGTCGGTATAGAAGGATACTTTTGATGTTATGATTTGACAATCGTGGAAATCCACCGAACCATTGTATAGCATATCCAAAACCATTGTATATCACCATAAGACGGGACGGGACTAGTTCTTTTCTTTCTCCACGATTTCTTAAATCCTCACTTCAAAGCTCTCGGCTCAGTGTTTTCAATTGGTGGTTGCATTCCGGGTGCGCAGCAGCGTTCACCTTCGTGGTTCACTTCCGTGGTGCAGGTGAGCAAGCGAAGTCGCCTTGAAAAGACTCTTCATTTGCATGTGGAACCTTGGCATCCGAGTTTCGGGCGTAGGGTCACGTACGAGACGTGACGGTACGGGTGATTTCAGAGACAGTGAGCACGGCCCCACGGCCCTGCTCGGAGCAGCCTGCTCGTTCAACACCCTGACGTGCTCGTTCCGAGTCAGTCGAACAAAAGACCACTCCAAGGTGACCCGAACAGGAATGGCCTTTGAGTGAGTGCCAAGTTAGTCTTTGGACCCGAAGAGGTGAAGCTTTCCGTTGGGATAGTGTTTGGGGGGCGGCACCACGGGTTCATCGGGACTCGTCCAATCCTGCCTTTCGCGCCCTTGCATCGTTTTCTCACTCGGCCTCCCCACAAACAGCCCAGCTACAGGCTTCGGACCTGTAGCATCCTGCATACCAACTTTCAACACCCGATGTATAACTAACCTTGCTTGCAAAGCAACACGTTTTTGATGGTGTGTACAAGAGAATGTTTCTTATAAGCTCCAGGCAGCAACACCTCTAGTAATTATCAAACACCAAAAGTGTCCAAAACCGCCGAACACGGTTGTAGTGATTTTGTTTTCCAACAAGTTGCGGCGTCAATAGATGTCAATAGCCATCACAGGAACCTGCTTCCCCGTCCACACCCTGAAACAGCCTTGACGTTAACAGCTTCCAAAAACAGGTAATGGCTCCATCATGGCTCCTGAATCCCGATCACTCACCAATGACAGGTTTATGAGGAGGGATTTAGGAGCCCACTGACACCAGATGCCCGCCTTGGATGTCCTTCTCAGCCAATCCCATGAGATCCGGCTTAGGACAGTGACATCCTGAAAGCGATCTCCTTGCAGACTTCTTTGCCATTCGGCGATGCGGAGATATGGGGAGCATCGACGTGATTTGGTCGATGGGCATCGAAGCCTCCCGATTTGGGGTGGGATCCACCGCAAAAAAGAACCGCTGCAGCCGAACAACTGCGAGCGAGTTCCAGTTTCAATGGCAGTCCACTAGAATTTTCTTCGGAATCTGGAGGTATAACTATACTGGACTATAATCTTGAGTCCCATGATAATCTTTGCATATCTTTGCATCAGGTTCAGAATATGGAGGTTTGCTTCAGCCCTGGGTACGGCCCCCTTGGCTCAGGCAGCACTTGGGTGCTTTGTGGCGGATGCAGCCCATGAAGATGTCGCTGCAGAAGCTTCCGAGCCGAAGAGCGGGAACTGCATCGAGCTTGGAACGACCAAAACCCGACCAGGTCCAAAAAATACCGTGGTTTCAGAGGTTCGATGGCACTGGCACCCAAAGATGTCTTTTATATAGGGGTCCATCCAAACCACCTAACTTGGGGATTGCGCCATCTATATACTCTGAAACCCCTGTAAGGGAATTGTCGCCTTGCCTGCTAAATGCAAACTGTCCAAGATACACCTACCTGCTAAATGCAAACAATCCAAGATCGACCAGACTATGCCAGACTCATCCTGAAGGGAACGAGAGGTGCCGCTGGCATGCTTTGAGTAAAAGATGATTATGAAGCTTTTGGAGGTTTCTGGTCCATGATAGATGCATGATTGCGGTGTCAGTCGTGTGTGTAGAATTGGAGCACTGCACTGGTACAGTAAAAAGATCCCGTTGACTGAGGGGCATTGACTGGGAGAACATGTGTGTCCATTCAAAGAACTGCTGAGCGGAGCAGCCGGGCGAAGCTGAGGTTGCAGAAGGTGAACTTGAAGGCACAAAGCGCAGCAGGCTATGACATGTTCTTGTCGCACACCTGGCACACCTCAGGAGGGCACGCATGGACAAAATCCGCTGGCGAAGTGGTGTCAAACAGGGGGAATGAGGGCAGCCTCCAAAATTGATCCTGCCAAATATCATTTGATCCTCAACATCATACCCAGACACCTCCCCCAGTCCGGTGTGCACGTGCCGGTCGTTTGCTCAGACGGTCGTACGCAGCCGTTTCCCTTCAACGCACAGGAGGGAAGGTGGTCCAAGAAACATGCTTCACTGACTCACCTGACTTCGTAGGTGGTCCAAGAAACCTGACTTCGGGGTGAGGGTGCCGGGCCAGGGGTGTCCTATAGCTCCTTAGAGGTAGGTTAAGGGATGTCCATGAACCACCCCTTACTCTGAGGGCCCTGGTATATAAGTATACTATATGGATTAAAAGATTCTGTCTTGAGAACCAGGACTTGAGTCACATAGGACCAGGACTTTGACTTTGGACTTTGTTGACTTTGTTGCTCAAGTAGTCAATCAAGTAGTCTGGAGTATAGACTCAGTTGTTCAAGGAGTATAGATAAAATATGCTTGGGACATGACATCCAGACCATAATCACATCTAAGATATAGACCATATGTCTGGAAATATAGACATCTAAGTCTAGGCTTTCAGTTTCAGATGCTTGGCTGCTGACCATGCCGTGGGCAGCTGTGGCAACGCAGCGCAGCAATCAGGACACCTGTTTTCCTTTCGTTTCCCCGAGTCGAGTTGGTCAAATCAGGGGGGCATGCCCCTGGATGAATTTCACTGCCCACTCCAGATCTTCAGACCACCAACCTGCGGCAGTTCTTCTTTGTTTTGACTTAAACATACTTGAACCAACCTGGGGTATTATTTTTTGGGGGTTGTTTTTTTGAGCATATTGTTTTCTTTCTTGGCCTTCAAGCTGGAGTGGCATCTAAGTGTCATTCACAGGGGCCTACAAGCCCATCTTATCACACTCCTGCCGTGCCATCTCGCGAGCTTTTGCACGGTCAGAAGACTTTGTCAAAACACTTCTGTATACTCTGCTGTATACCCGGTTGCGTGTCGCAGGCTTGTACTTGATGTCCTGAAACAATGGAGCTTCTAGTAAAAGAACATAGAAGCAAACAAACAATCATGTTCAAACCAATGTTAAAATGTCAGGATTGTTTCACGCTCATGTTACCCAACCCCTCCTTCCCTTCAGTCTTTTGCTCTTCCTTTTTTTTGGCTGCTGCTTTTGCCTTTGCCTTTGCCTTGGGCTGTGCTGCCTTGCTCTGCTTTTTGCTCTTGGCTTTGGGAGTTGGCTTAGACTTGGATCTTGCCTGGCGCTTGGGAACAGCCTTGGCTTTGGGAGCACCAGACCCTGCAGCGTTCTTCGCAGCCTTTCCTCCACCCTCCCTGCGCTTTGGTGCAGCCTTTGGAACAGCCTTTTGTGAAGATGCTGGTTCAATGTTTTCATCCTCCCCGAGAGAGATGTAGCCATCCACAAAGCCACATACTCCATTCCAAGGCTTTTGGACCTTTTTCTTCGCGGTGGGATCAATGTAGTATCGAGCCACTACCTGAGGGAAGCTACCATGACCAAAACCAACACTCGCTGGAGTACTCCCCCCACCAACCTCACACACCCACACACACTTAGTTTGGTCAGCTAGGCCTTCTTTGGGTCTTCCAGGTGATTGTCAGTCAAATCCACAGTGTCGATGTGTTTTTTCTGCAATGTGATGGCCTCATTCTCAACTTGGTTGGCATCACAGTCAGCCAGCTTTTGGAGCTCCACGTTGTCACCCAAGGCATCAGCCTCACCAACCGAGTCCTGCAAATCAACAACGCGACAATATTGAAAGGTTACAGAATCAAAGGTTGCAGAACGGAGTGTTCAGGTGGGGCCGGTCCTGGCTCAGTTGGTCTCCCAAGCGAAGGGTTGGAGCATTCAGCAAATCATCATCATCATCATCATGGTCAGCCTGGTCCACCTGGTCTCCCAAGGCTGGAGCGTCATGGGTGGCCTGCTCCACCCTCTCTCTCAGCTGGAGGGCTTCTTGGACCTCCGGTCTGCCTTGAGACTCTGCGGTGGATTCGATGACCAAAGCATCCATGTACTGGATTGCCATCTTCTCTGTCTCAGGATCGATGTCCTACCATGATGACTTTAATAAGTTTGTTTTGCAAGGTGAGCCTGCCAACACTGCGCAGTTCTGCTTCAACCAAATAAATTAAGAATTCACCCAGCCTCCATCGCTTCATCTCCCTGCTTATGATGAAGATTGCCATCAGCAGCGCAAGATGTCTCCATTGGGATTTCCTTAAAACTTAGTTTTTGACTCACGGACAGAGAAGAGATCACACAACACGCACAACAAGCTCAGCATGAGTGAGTAAGAAAAGCACTTGGCACAAGAACAAGTTGCCGGGCGGTCCGATGTGCGGGCCAAGTACTGGAGACATTGGGTCACCTGTTCATCAGTCACCTCACGAGGCACGCGGTGCGAGGCACCTGGTGGCATAGTCACAATGTTGACTGGCTGCTCGGTCTCCAATCCCTCAACCTCGTCAGGTTTCACAGTGTCAATGTCTTCAGAGCCACTGCTATCCTGGCCGTTTGCATGCTTTCGCTTCCCACCAGTGCCCTTCTTGTGGCCACTGCCATCCTTCCAGGGATAGGTTGATAGGTTGATAGAAGTTAGTTTTTATTAGTTCAACTTTCATTAGTGCTCAGGCCATGGTCCTTTGAAGATTTGCGCGTCTTTGGAGTGCCTGACCCTCCACGAGAGTGCTTCTTCTTGCCTTTGGGAGGCTGCTCATCACCAAGTTGGTCTTCTTCTTCATCATCATCATCATCTTTTCCTGCAAAGTCCTTGAAGATGTCCTGGAAATCACCCTTCTTCTGTCGTTTCCTAGAAGGCTTCTTCATAGGTTGTTGTTCATCATCATGCTCATTGTCCTCTTCTTCTTTGCCTTTCTTCTTCTCTTTAGCTGCGCCGCTCTTGTTTGGCTTCATTTTGCTCTTTGCTGTCTTTTCCTCCTTGTCAGTGTCTGCGCTTTTGTCACCACTTTGATCTTCAGAGGAAGACCGCAAATCGCAGCGTTGAAATAGTGAGGAACCACCTTAAGGATGGCAAGAGCTGTGGGAAGAGCATGGCAAAAGGTAATATAGTGATGGCCATTGAGTTATAGCACAAACTTAACATTTGGAAAAGATAAAGGGGTGTATGGTGGACCAGGAGGATTGATTTAGTCTTTTCTTGGAGGATCCCACACAGATTCTTTGGGTGAAACAAGGAAACCAGAAGCTTCAACATTGAAAACTGCCAAGACTGCAATCATGACCGGAACCAGCCTCCAGGATTTGCTGGTGCTGCAGCTCTTGAAGTAGGTGAAGGCGCCCCGGATTTCGAAGGTTCATTCTTGTCCAGGTTGTCAATCACATCCTGATAGTTGCCTCAGCTTTGACTTCAAAATAGGGAAGAAGTCAAAGATTCAAAACCTCAGCTTCTATCACCCAAGCAAGCTGCTGATATCAAACTTGGGGACTGTGAGCGAATTGCCACGAGGTGTCACTGTCACTTTGCCCGGTGGGGAGCAAAAGTTGTCAGCCTTCATTGAGCTGAAGCGTTTGCCTTCAGGTTGAGACCTTGACCCAAAAAAAGCCTTGGTAAGTGGATGTGATCATGGGTGGCAACATGTTTCAAGTTTTCAAGACCAAATTGTTCAAGAAACATGCTTCTTGCACAATGTAGGAAAAATCTTTTTCTGACACCACCATCTTGCAGCATGTATTGCGCCAAGATGTTCAAGCGTGGTTGGCTCCCGCACCCCACAACACTGAGGACAGTGTTGAACCATAGGTCCAGCTTCGTAACACAGCTGCCCAAGAGACACTGCACAACAACTGGTGTAATTATTATATCACAATATATACTATATTATTGTTGGTTGTGTTTTAGTTGGAAGATGTTGGAAGGGATTTGGCAGTTCATCTATTTGTTTGGACTTGGGGCAGCATCCCTGACTATGGGCAGCTTATCTAAAATCTAAAAGAGTTGATAGAGTTCATCAACCCTGCATTCAAGACTGCCTGTCAGCAGTGCGACAGGCCTGATGGGCACCATGAGCTTGACGTTTGCATCATTGGGGTCTGGCTGCAGCCTGGTTTTGCAAGATGCGGGTTGCTTCTTTGCAAATAGAGTTTAATCTCTATTTGGCACTCTTGTTTTTATCTTTGAACTTGAAAGTGCCATGCCTTGTTCGCCATACAATCTTCACGTTGGGGTTCGTGCGGATCTTGGTCAAACTTTTGAACTTGGAGCCATAGGTGAGAGCATTTGGTGAAGCCTGGGGAAGCAAACGCGCGTGACATGATAATACTTTAACCTATACAGATGATAACACAGGGAACTATTGAAATAATGCAAACAAATGGAACATGAACAGAAGATCCTGGCCTTCTTGCGTTTGGTACTTGTCTTGACCGGGTCCAGAGCAAACACCACCTTTTTGTCGGCATTGAATGCTAGATTGCCATCATCCAACTTGTCAATTTTGTGAGCAGTGACCTTGACAAAGACCTCTCCAAGATCTTCCAATGCCTTGATGATCTCCTTGTAGGTCATGACCTCCCAAATGTTTTGAGGGAACTCAAAGCAAGCAATCGCCAAAAGAGCTACAACACTTCAACAGCACAAACAACTTGTTGTGACTACAAGCACAGGGGTGCCCCAAAGCTTCATGTCCAGAACGTGAAGGGCCTTCCCAAACACATCAGACTTGCGGATATGGTCAGGAAGCCGCTTGTCCACCTCTAGAATGCACTCATCAGTGCAGCTGGTGACCTTGTAGCAGAGCCACCGCCCTGTGACATCGCTCATGATATCAGCTGCTTCAGGTCCCTCTGCGAAGTCGCCACTTCCAAAACCAAACAGCTCACAAGGGCCGCTGACTTCAATCGACTCCACATCCTTCTTCTTTGGGTCTTCCGCTCCAAGCCACAAAGTGTCTTGACCCTTGTCATAGATCAGCCGGTAGTTGCCACATGACAAGGCCAGCCTGGGGAAACACACATCACAGCCACAAAGAAACAACCAAAGCGCTTTTCAAACATCAAAGCAGTTTGTCCAAGGCACGGCTCATCAAACTTCTCCTCCTGGTCCTTGGCCTTCACGCTTGACTCCACCTTGAGCTTCTTGCGAGTGGCCTGGACACTGCCCTCTGCACCATCATCGTCATGTTCATTTCCAGGGCCACCACGCTTCACACCTCGCGGGTTGTACTTCTCGTTGTGGGCCTTGAGCAGCGCTTGGAAATCATCACCATGCACAGAACACTTGGACCAATAAGAGACCAGGTTCTGCTTGAGCACCAAAGTGCCATTTGCCAGCCCCACGCACACTTCATAGTTGGGTGCAGGCAGCTCCTGCTTAGCACTGAGCTCAGAGACCACGTTTGAGAAGTTTGGAAACGCTGGCAATCGAAGCTCACCAGCACGGGCCATTGCATATACCTTTTGGGCAACCAATGAAGAGACAAATGATGTCTCATGGACTGTGTGGCAGGCAGTGCCACAGGCAAAGCGCTTTCCTGCCATGTGGGGTTGATGAACTCTACATGACAACTACTGCAGGCACAACCTGAATCAACTGAATCTAGTGGAGCTCCTTCAGAAGCCCTTCGAAGAGCAAAGCATGCTGGCCAACCATCATAACCCAGCATGTCCAGAATCACCACTGAAGATTCACTTGAGGTCCCATTGAGCAGGCCGGTCACCACAGACTCCACAATGCTCTCGCCGGCCAAGTGCTGACAGCTGAAAATTTGTCAGCAAAACACACAGGTTGGTGACAAACAGACAGACACCCTTTCCATGTTAGAGAGGCTTTAAAACGCTGTTGCCCTGCCTGCTTGAGCTCTTGAACCCTAGTCATGCGACTGGGAACTGCTCCACATTTGCTATTCGGCTTGTCTACCTTCACCATATCAACCCTTGGTGGAAATGCATTCAAAGCTGGTTGCAACCACTAGAATCAGCAGTTTATTTGACATTTGATTTGCTACCATGCAACCTGGGCAGCATATTGATGCTTGAAACCACGCCACAACGCCACACATTGCTTTTCCTGAAGTGATTGTTCTTGTCATTGCTGGTCACCATCAGTGCCGAGTGGTAGCCCTCACGCACCCCATAGACTGACGTTGGTTCAAAGACTAGCGTCACTGGGCGAACCTTGGCAGCTTCAAAGGAAACATAACAACAAAGCGCAGCAAGGTTTGACACATTATGATCGAGGTCTGAGGATAAAGCTTTCAGGTCGCGGGAGTGTGCCATGAGTTGGCATTGGATCTGGTAGCGGTAGTCACGGAGAATGGCGTCAGAAGAAGTGTGGGCTGTCTCATCAGATTCTTTTTCTTCTGGTTCGGGGTCAGCATCCCCATCTTCTCCTAAAAGTGTGCAACACATTTAAACAGCTGACAACTTACATGTTGACCCTATCACTGACTGTGTCCTGCAGCGCAGTCAGATTTGTCATCATCCAACTCATCTCCATCCTCACGCCTTGTTTCCAGACGTTTAGCGCGCAGAAGTTTGACATGTTTGCCAACTTCAAAAGAACTATAGCAGCAAACATAATTCCAAGCTGCTTTGTTGGTGAGCTTCGAAGGTCTCCAGCCCTGTTTGGGAGCAGCACAATCCCGGTGCAGGTACGCGGGTTTGCATGACACAGCTGGGTGAGCTGCTCCAAGCAAAACGTGTTCAGGCGAGCAGACATCACCCCTTGGGTGACATAGTTGCACCAGAGGATGATGCGTTCTGAGTCTGGCCGCCTGATCCCGTTTCCAAATCCACTCAAGGTTTCTTGGAGCCACGGTTCGTATTTGGCTGCAAAGATGGTAGGTCCATCGCTCTCCACACCTTGAAATGTTGAGGCAACATCCACACTAAACATTTCTCTTTAGCCTAATTAGGACTTGCAAGACCAGCGCACAAAATAGAATGCAAACAGGAAAACCCAAATGAACTGTCTTTGTCATGCCCTTGTCCTTGTGCACTCTTCGGAATGCTGATGTCCCAGGAAGGAGCTGTTTCAGCCACATAGTCGCCGACCAGCTTCCAAGCAGTGTCGTGCATTTTCTTCAGGGTTGGGTGTGTGAGGCTAAAACTAACCTGCAAGACCAACACCTGACTTACCCAAGCAAACTTGATAATTGGCACACCCCACCTCCAGGCTGTGGACAAGAACTGAACGGGCACGATGCACATTCATCGCAGAAGCAGCCACGTGTTTGTCATGGACAACGTGGTCGTTGTCCAAACTGGTGGTGAACAAGTTGTAAGCCGCGCGAATCGAATTCTTGCGAGCATCGTTGACACTGCTTTGCGCGCTGATCAGAAGGTCTTCTGTTTGTTTCCCGCTGGCTTCTTGCACAAAAGCTAGCTTGGTATAGTCGAAGTTTGGGTCAAGACCCTTCCTTATTTCATTGACCAATTGGGGCTGCAATTGGACTGTGACTTGCATCCCACAGATTCAAGCTTTTTGTTTGGTGCCAAGCTTCAACTGAACACGCAGTTCTGCATCCAAGGACCTGCGGATGGATGGACAATGGTCTGGTGATGCATCGCATAGATCTACTTTTGCTTTGGCAGCTGGGGCAATGGTAAGACTGAAGGGCTTAGACCTAACCTTCCCAATGGCCCAAGAGCTGTTCTTTGACTACATCGACCAATGCATTGGGTTTTGAATGCCTAAATGTTTGGCAGCCATGTTCTTAAAACCCAAAACCTGGTGCTGTTACAACCAGCAACAGTCCTACTACACTGATTGAGATTCAGAAAGAGGCTAGCGCATTGGGGTGAACCATTTCCCCTAGACATGTCTTAGCACTAGGTGCATGTCTTTTGGTTTCTTAAATTTGTTTAAAGCCACGTTCGCAGTGTGACACAATGCATCCTGTTTGAAAGTTTCCTGATTTGTAGAAGACTTGAGGCTACTGCCCTCCAGTACTGCAGTTTGTTGCCAGACATCCAGGAGCGTTCTTGTTTTTGTTTACAATGGTTGAGGAGTACTGCAATAGAAAAAAACACAGGAATTTTTGATTCCCTGGCAAGTTTCAATACTCCCAGATACTTGGAAAACAGTTGCTGTACTCTGGGAAAAATTCTTTAGTGCTGTGAACAAAAACAGATCCGAGAACTGCATTTAACTCTTCCAGGAATTTGGAATGTATATACGTTTTTGGCAGTCAGTTCTTACCCACAAATCTAGCTTTTCTTTTCTGGAGGTCTGGGAGTACTGCGGTTTTCTTTTCTGGAGGTCTGGGAGTACTGCGGTTTT